TAATTAAAGAATTAAATTATTTATTCTTTAATTTTAATTTTGATAATTATGGAAGATGGTTGATGCTTTCATAACTCTAAATGGATGGTCAAGATTGATTAAAAGGTGTTTGATTTTGATTAAACTTTTGAGGCAAGAGTTTTAATAAAAGGAGAAGAGATTGAAAGAAAAAAAACGAACATACTTTCTCTTGAAAAAGTTTCAACAGTCACTTCTCTCTTCCTCCTCCAAAACTTTGCCATTTTTTTCTTCTTCTCTCCCATTCTTAGATGAATTTTTGAAAAAAAAAACCATTAATTTTTAGGAAGAAAAGGGAAACAAAAATGGTTGCCATCTTGTAGTTTAGCATTCCACACCTTGTCCACTCAAGGTTCAAGTTGAAAGCATTTTTGAAGAATAAGGGGTAAACTTGTTTGGTCTAGAAATCATTCATTGGTGTGGTGGTGTCTAAAAATAAGATTCACAAAATAAAAGGTATGTTTTTTTTATTACTTAATAGATTTTTTTTTAAGACGTGATTATGTTACTTGCAATAAGAATGATGTGTGTTTCCGCTTGCGTAATTGGATTGCTTGCTTCCTTTATAAAAGAAAATTTTTGAAATTCATACTTGACACAATCACATTAATCCACTAAGATCTTACTCCAATAGTTATGACTAAGTTAGTGTGATGGCTATACCATGATATGGGAATAGATTGCCCAATTGTCGATGAAATATTGATGCATGATTTGATGTGAGATTGCCATGTATATGCAGCTATTAGGCCATGACTAATTTAAAAATGAGATAGTTTATGCATTTACAACTAGTGAGCTATGATAATTGAGGCCTAATTACTTGAATATGTGACACCACGTATATTTTATGCGAATTGTTTAGGTATGTGAGGCTAAGGAGGCTAATTAAATGATATAACATTATGATTTATGAATCATTATGGCACTTAGAGCTCTAACGAGCTTATAGACGGTTAAAGCTCCATAAATGTGATTTGTGATATGTTGTGGACATATGTAAAGATAAAGGCATGATGGCCTCGTTGCGGATTAGTGTTCCATCTAAGGGATGAATTTCAAACATTGATTTGACTTGAGGTTGAGTGGATTCTGTTACCTTTTGACTCTATATGTGCCTCTAGGGATAGTGGTAAGCAAGGATGATAATATTAGTCTCACTTGTGATTCCCTCTTGTAGTGCTTTGATGCCACCTGTCTAAGAATACTCTAGGTGGTGCTAATCCTTAGGAGATTACTTTGGTCAATGACGTGATTATCTATCAGCTACTTATGTGTCATGCATGATTTACTCTCTACCCCTTGCTTTAACAAGCTTGTGATTTGTTCTTCACCAGTGGTTTTGCCTTGTGTGTTATTTGTTTCTTTGCCAGTTGGCAACTGAGCATGATTTGACTATGTCTAAGGGAGGACAACTCGTTGATTTGTATATAACATAAGACAGCCTTGGTGAGGCTTAGATAAACGTGTAGGTGATTTGAATGACTTGGATTAGCTTTGAGGGTAAGTCTAATGATGTGTGTGATGATCTTTAAAGATGTTAGGGATGATGATTTGCCCCCATATTGGAAACCTAAGGATAATTGTATGCCCTATATTTAAAGATGTTTGCTAGACCATGGAGATGCACTGAGAGTGCAATATTTAATTTTTGTTTAATATATGTATATGATTTTGATTATTTACACCACTCACTAAATATTATAGTACTCACCCATTTTTGTACCATGTGTAGATAAATAGGCCACTGGACAATGCATGGCAACTCATCCATTGATAGCCTGATTTTGGCATCCAATAGGTTTTTATCTATAGTGTCACTTGCTGTGTCAGTCACGAGCTTCCGCTCTATGCTTAGTTGTTGTGTATGTAGGCACACTATGCCATATGAACTTGTATAAGGGTTGTTATATATGAACTAGCTTAAATGGCTAATGTATGGCCTTATGGATTTTGTTATAAACTATGTGAAAGGGATAATGTATTATGTTGAACTTAAATTTAAATTTTATTTATGAATATTTGGTTATGAAATCCCTTGGCTTTATGTTATGTGATTTTGAAATTTGAGGCTTGTCGGGGTCTCATGGGCTTTACCTGTTAAGCTTGTGAGCCGATCACGAACCTCAAGGTTTAGGTTGTGACAAAGTTAGTATTTGAACTCCTAGGTTTAGAGAGTCTTAGGTAAATTTGTGTTCGTTAGTGAAGTGTCGAGATTAGTGTATAGTATTGTTCATGGTTTGTGACTATAGCACTGTTGGTATATGCCCTTGAGTCAATTAGATTGGTCAAGGAATATATATTTTCATTTAATGCATATTTAATCACATAATTTTATGTGATA